TTAGTACCTCTGGAACTACCTTGTAGTAGTTACTGCCTGAGCTTCCAAACTGTTGTTCTCTTATATCCCTGGAATCCTCATGTTTCAACAAATATCTCAAACTACCAATTTAATAAGCAGCATTCAAAATGTGTGAGAAGGCAATCCCATTTTTTTAATTGCACAGTGTACTGATATGGACAGTTCAGCTCAAGTTAATGCATCAGTGTTTTGGAGGGAGCAAAGAACAAAACAATATACCTCATTAAGTCAGGACTTTTTGTTTTGCTATCAGCATCACCTACATCTTGGCTGTCTGCTCTAACAGAGTACTTGGTTTATGTCAGTCTTTTCCATCAGAAACATCTTATGCCCTGTATCACGGATTGCCTTTCCCCCAGCATTAGTGGCACTGCCCAAAGTAAGCACCGCCCCAGCTGCAGAACCAGTGAGATAAGAGGGGCTCCAGTGGAAAAACCACTCACCATCACTGCTACTGTTACTGTCACCCAAGAATAGGGGCTGCAGATTTATCAGGAATGAAGGTGGCTGCTAAAAGTCCACAAGGAATGAAATATCCTTGACCATTCTTAGGAAAGTTTACCCTTTACAAGCGTACTTCCTGCTTAGTTTACATTATGCTTAATATCCAAGGCTAGGTGAGGTAACCTGTTGGGAAAGGAATACTATTAGCATAATCACTGTTTTATTAAAGCAATGCTATGAAGGCACAGTGTTGTCATTTACAGAGAAATGAAAGATGAGCTCCTTCTAGCATAAAGGAAATCAACATCTTCTTATGTGTGGATACCACAACCCACATAGCTACAATATGTCTAAACAGGTCAGACTTTGTTCAGGGAAGAGGATGACATGGGCTCCAAGGACCCAGTAATACAGTTAGCACATGGCAATGCATCAACCTTCTGGCTTTCTCAGTGTGCTTCCTTCTCTTGTTCTCATTGCTGTTTTGGGTTGGGGGGGTGGGGCTGTTACAGTTTAAAGGCTTTATGAAAAAGAAAAAAATGGATTATAAAGAAAGGTTTAAGCTGAAATAGCTGCATGAGATTGGAGAAGTGTTCGGAAAGCATTAACTTGTCAAAGACTTGATCTTCTAAATAACTAGGAAATTACTGTGTGTGTTCTTACCAAGGCTTTCTCATGAGTTTATGTGTACAATTAAATGGTGGAGTTTTGACTTAAGAAACACATTCTGTTTACAAACTTAAATGTTTTCCCTGACTGTAAACTAATACCTGTAAACTGGTTTTCCCTGTAAACTAATAAGTATAAATTATATCAGTAATGCTGTTTTGTCTAGTTTGGGTGTTTGGTTTTTTTCATTTCAAAAATGCAGTTGAGACTAAAACAAGAATTACACTTTTGAAGTCTCACAACAGGATTTACTGGTGCCATCTACTGGCTATTTAGTCTTTTTAAATGTCACCAAATTATGAATAATGTGTTTTACATGCAGAATAATAAGAATACTATGAACCTTATAACCGAATCATCCAACATCAAACTATGTAATTGGCAAATCTATAATATTTAAATTACATTAAGTCAAACTTTAGTACAACAATATAATTCAGTTATGAAGCTTTTAGATATGCCAACAGGAGAAAGCTCGAGCCAGCATACAACTGCTCATGTGCAGACTCCAAGCACTAAAGCCAAACATACGCTTCCTCCTAACAGCTGCCAACCATTTGAGATCCCTCCTCCCTAGTGCATCAGTGCATGGGGCATGAACATGTTCTTGCAGCAGGTAAACATGGTCATGTTGCTGTTTGCCTTTTCTGGAGGGATGTCCCACAAAAAAAAAAAAATTGAAGGAGAAAATGGTGCTTCAGTTCGTAGTCCAGGCAAGCTGTCAACATTTCTGCTGAGGATAGGTTTAAGCTAGTTGGATAGAGCATGGGCATGGAGGGGATGCCACAGGATCTGTTCTACCACATCCGTTGCAAGGATGGTAGGAGACAGCAGAGCTTGGCAAGTAGCTGCTGAAACCCCCTCTGCTACATGTGTTGAAAGGCATCTGAAGATGACCTATGATTTAAACAAGGCTTGAAATCACTTAAACTCTTTGTAGTAAAAATTGCTAAACTAGAATTGTTTGAAGCAGTTCCAGAGAAAGGTCAGCAAATTAATATTACATTAACTGAAATGTTAACAATATGTTCAGTGCCAGGTGAGAAAAGTACTTCCACATCTGAGTAGTTGCATTCCTAATTAGCAATCTATTTGAGCACATGCTTGAAATACTTAATTGTACTTAAAGGTGCTTTGCTAGATACCAGTGAGAGTGCTCACATTCCTCACTCTGATTCCTTATAGAACCAGAAACAAATGTATTTAGATCATGGCTCTGAGAACCAGCCTCTGGAAGAACTTGCTGGGCAACTAGCAAGCAAAGAAAGTATATTAATAACATGACTGAAGAAAGGGCTCATCCTTCCTTTTCTCTGCCTTTTCCCTTCATCTAACAAAACCACAAGTCTTTTAAAGAAGAAAGGCAATGTTATTTAGTCATGTCTGTTTTTCAGAGGTTTAATTTATGTATGAAAATGCATTCTGATGGAAGGAACTAAGCCATCAATTTATATAATGCCATATTTATATAGTGTGATACTAGCAGGGCTTCCAGCTGTGGCTGCTAAACTCCCCACAATGCCTTATTTTCAGGTGCTTGTGACTTTGCAGTTTGGCTGAAATTTCCACACCTTGGATTTTTGTCTGGTTGTTTCAGCAAAATTTCATACGAAGTCTTCATGAAAATCATGTAAGACATACTGGTTTTCCCATATTAAAATTATAACAGAAGCTTGTCTGAGAATTTGTTGACCCTATGTACTGCAAAGCATTGGCTTTTCACTTGGTATAAATAGTCCTAATAGCTCTACTTCTGTTTCCATGAAAATATCATGGGCTTAGTCAATCAAACTAGAAAGGAAAGAGAGTTCAGTAGAAATCTGCTGGAGTGTAAATCTGCACTCAACACATCCTGTCCCTGCAAGGTTTCAGTGTGCATGATGGTGTTGCCGGAGCTGAGAGCAACCCAACAACTTCATCAAGGGATAAGCAAGAACTTCCCTTAACCGCTTCTGCAGATGCAGAGTGGGGAGGCTCCCTCTTGCCTGCTCCTGCTGCTCTCACTGCCAGACCCGCAGAGCGTGGGGCCTCTCAGAGCTCACAAAAATAAAAATGTGGTATTTCTGGGAGGGGAAGAGCTACTGAGAGTGAGTAAGACAGGAGCCAGCTGGAGGACGAAAACTGCAGGGATGACAAAGGACAGTGTAGGCGAGTGTTGTCATGCACTAGAGCACATTAACTTCCACAACCTGCAAACATTTCATTTAACATCTATTGCTTGTCTGTGTAGCAAATTTAATTCCAGCTGTCAAGTTATGCCATTTGCTCAAATGGCAGAGCTTTGTGGATCTGTGGCATGTATGTTAATCCTCCTCATGATTCACAGAGGTGCTAAAATGGTTTCATGCAGGGATCTGGAAAGGGGTTGTGTTTCTGTAAGGTAAAACAGGAAATCATATACAAAATATCTGCATGAAGAGACAGCTTCTAGATTCTTGTAGTGCTCTGAATAACCACATGCAGCTTCACACCCTGCAGCATCTATGGTTGGACTCTCTGAGTAAATGTGCCTGACTGCACAGACTCTCCTGGGGTTCATTAACAGAAAGGCAGCACTGCCTGAGCATTGTCAAGCCATGCCTAAATCTGGTTTGCATGTCTCGGCATCTGGTGTTTCCTGTTCCAGTCCTGGAGTGTGGAGCAAGTAGCATGGGTGATGAGACCTTGGGTGGCTCTGTGAAGAGAAATTCACTCACCTCTGCCTAGTAAGCTCCTGCATTTCTGCAGGGTCTCATCAGCTCAAGTGTGTGTTTGTGACCAGGTCTAAACACTACCGCACATGTGCTTGTCTGCTTGTGTGTGGTCTCAGCCAGCAGCAGACGTGAGTGCAGCAGGAGGTCAGTTCACACATCCTAGAGCGGGGGTCTCTGGAAGACAGCAGCTGCCAGAACCACCAGGGTGCTCCTCTTCTGTTTGAACACTTGGTTCCCTTTTTTCTCACCAAAGCATCCTCTCCTCATCGAATACCTCAAATCACTTCCCTTTCCTTCATTACATTCAATCATTTTACATTGACCTCTAGTATTATCCTCAGAGAGCTAACAGCTAAGGTGAAGAATGGCTGAGGGAACTGGGGTTGTTTAGTGTGGAGAAAAGAACTTACCACTCTCTACAACTGCCTGACAGGAGGTTGTAGTGAGGTGGGGGTCAGTCTCTTCTCCCAAGTAACCAGTGATAGGACAAGAGGTAAAGGCCTCAAGCTGCACCAGGGGAGGTTTAGATTGGATATGAGGAAAAATTTCTTCACCAAGGGGGTGCTCCAGCATTGGAACAGGCTGCCCAGGGCAGTGGTGGAATCACTGTCCCTTAAGTGTTCAAAAACCATGTAGGCATGGCCCTCAGTGACATGGTTTAGTGGTGGTCTTGGCAGTTCTGGGGTAAAGGTTGGACTTAATCTTAAAAGTCTTCCAACCTAGTTGATTTTGTGATTCTAATAGGCTGCCCAGCTAGCTATGACTTAAGCTCTTGTTCAGAAACAAGCCTTAGCATCTCTCCCGCGGGTGGGAGCGCTGACTTCCCGATTCTTTTATGAAAAGAATGCCTTAGCATTTACACAGTGCATCACAGGGTTAATATTGATCATTTTTATGAAAACCTAAGTGCCAGGTGTCCCTTGGAAGCATCTTTTTGTGCCATTTGCGACCCTGCGTTCAGCCACGGACCCTTTCCCAGCCGAGGCCCAACCGGCCCCTCGAAACCCAGACCATGTCGGTAGTGGTGCCGACCCGGCAGGCCACAGCCGGCGGGACCCACGGCCCCGCTTAGTCCTGGGGGCAGGCCCCGCCGTGGGCAGACTCCGCCCACACCGGCACGGAAAGGTGCGGCCGCCCGGCCCCGCCCAGCGCGCAAGTATCGCGCGAGCGCCCCCGCCGCCGGATCCTGTCGATGTCGCTGGGCGGCTGCGGCCTTCGCAGCGGAGGCGGTGGGGAGGGGCCGCTCCGGCGGGGCGCGGGTGAGTGCGCTGGGGAGGGGGCAGCGCCGGCACCCCTCGGCCCGGCCCGGAGAGCGGCGGCTCCTCCTCGGCGCCCCGGGGCATGCGCCAGCGGTGAAGCATACCCTGGGAGGCGGGTCCTGGTGAGGGGGCGGCGGGGGCGCGGCCCGGGCGTGGCGGGGATGCGGCGCCGAGGCCGCGCCCGGCGAGCCCCGGCTCCTGGGCCGACTTCTCGGTCGGGTCCCGCCCGGCCCCGCGGGCGCCGCTTCCCAGGGCGGGGCTGGGAACCGAGCGCCGACAGCGGGGCGTTGGGAGCAGCGGTGGCTGCGGGGCCCGGGCGGGAGCGGCGGCCGAGCTCACCGCTCCCTGTGGGCGAGGCGGCGGGAGCGCGGGCAGCGCCGTGCTGCTGCCCCTGCAGGGTGTGTGAGGCCGGGGGGGCTGCGGGACCGGGGGGGGCTGCGGGACCGGGGAGTGCTGCGGGACCGGGGAGGGACCGGCGGGAGCTGCCCTCTCCTGCCGGCCTTTGTGGAGACCGCCTTCGGCCTTCGGACGGGTGGTCGCGGTCGGGTTGTTTCTGCTGTTAATGATTAGCCCTGTCTCTTCCTGCTTCTGCAGCTTGCAGGCTGGAGGAGGAGGGGGATTTAATAAAACCGCGGCCAGCCGAAATGGGGAGATGCCTAAAGCAGCAGTGAGGAGTCTGTCGTCTGCCTAGTTGCCCACGTCTTTGTCTTGCGCTGGAACCAGCAAAGGAAGATGTGTATTTTTATCCTTGTGCCAAGCTGGTCTGTCTAACTCCTGAACAGAGCTATGCGCTGAAGCTGGAGGTCCTGACAAAATGGGAGTACTTGTGTTCTCTGTGACTTGCAGTTTACTTCTAACTCTGGTGAGAGGGCACAGTTTGTTCACATGTGAGCCAATTACTATTTCCAGATGTTCAGGAATGCCTTACAATATGACTTTTTTTCCAAACATCATGGGACACTATGATCAGGACACGGCTGCTTTCCAAATGGAGGTAAGTTCCCCTGTCCCTACTGTAGTATGTAAATATTACACTGTGAAACAACCTTTTTGTCATTGAGAAATGTTTTGTGATGCCTGTTGAACAGAATGCCAAGGCAGATAATGTTTAGTGACTAGGTGTTTCTTTAAAACGTTATGAGCTATAAGGCACCCCCACCCCACTTTGGGTCCAGTGTTGGAGTGGAATAGGTGTAGCACAGTAATGTGGCTATTCAGAGCTCTTTGGCAGAGCTGATTATGTATAGCACCTCACTGATACACAGGGCAGTTCTTGAAATTCTCTAGGGTCATGGCTTATATATTGTGGCCCATCTGAACTTGCGTAGTGCAAAAATAATGTTTATAAGTTGCTCTTTGTTCCTCTCTCGGTTTATATCTACTAAGGAGAGAGGTACTTAAACTTATTATTGGCCCATTCTCCATTGTGGCTTTGCCTTCTGTTGTCTTCTGACTGGATGCTGAAACTTCTGACTGAAAGTTGGAGGGTTTTTAAGCTGAAAGCAAACACTTTTCTTACTTGAACTGATTGTAACGTGGCTCCCTTGAGAATATGCCACCTTGTGGAAAAGCTTTGCTGATAGAAACAAAAGGGCCAGAGCCTCTCTGGGTGAGAGGCTTGTAAAACAAGTTTTAAACCTGTTTTAATAGTGGCTTTTCAGTGGTAAGAGGAGGGGGAACATATTAACACAGATCTTGAAAAGCTTATTATCTTGTCCTGTGCAGAGTGAAACAAGTGAGTTGAAAATTAAGAAGTTTCTGGTTAAAAAATAAATAAAATTAGAGATTGTATTGGAGGTGGCTACTGTTGTTAAAATCTTATTTGCATATTTTTTACTGATCTTGGAGGAGGAGCTTGGTTCAGTTACCAAAGCATTCTTTTAGTGTTGCTTGGCATAGTCAGGATTCCCTGGTTGGCCTCTAGCTGCCAGCCTGGAACAGCACAGGATTTGGTCTCGAATTGTGTTTGCCAGCCTGGTGTAAGTGTATGGGAAATTCTGGTATCAAATGTCAAGACACCTGTACACAAGCAACTGAATTCAGCTGCAGGTCTCAGATAAATTGTGGGCTTTAAAATTGGAAGGCAAGCTTATAAGCTTCCGTTGTAAGCTCTGTGCAGTGCCTTATCAAGTCCTTGTTTGTCAGGAATGCTTTCTACAGCGTCTGCCACTTTCATCTCATCAGGTGTGCTGCTGGTTCTTACTTGGTGTGTCTTTGCAACTGTTGAGCCAGCTTTTGTTAGTATTTGTGCCTTCCAGTCATGCTGCTGTTACAGCAGATGCCACAGAGCCATTTTTATTAGATTGCTACAACTGACTTTTCTGAACTGTCAAGTAGCTTGTGCCTACTGCATGTCTTCTGGAAGGGGTTTGTGGTTTACCTGTTCTCATACAGCTACTTCATAAAATCTGAGTGGTAATGAGAAGTTTTGTTGCTTTCCCTTTTTTATCCCCCCATCCTGTCTCCCTTATAACCACCTCTGACCACTGCAGCAGTTGATCACTACTCAGCCAACTGACTGAGTGGTTGTGTGGAACAACAGTGTTTATTAGGTTTTGATTTCCTTACCCTGTATCATTTACTTCCTAGTCTCCTGTCATTGCCACTCTCTGGCCTCTAATTTGTTATACCTCACTACTCTAGTGTTGTGCAGACATTTCTAAACTACCTCATGTGTCTGTGTGCTGATCTGCCTGCCTCTGTTTGTGATTCAGCAGTGCTGATTGACTGCTGGGTCAAACTGAATTTTTAAGACATTTGCTTTACTGATGAAAGGGTAAGGAAGTTGCTTTCCATTCTTATGTAGCCAGTGTTGAATCTGTTGCTAGTGGTTAGATTGGAGTTAATATGATAAGTTTTGGTGGTTCATTGCAGGACCCTTTTTTTCTGAGGGAGACCAGTATGTACCAGCATTCCTTATACGTTTTGATGTGTATTCTACATGGCATTTGGTAATGGTGCCGGTATAGTTTGTCCCTAGTTGATTGTAACAGGGAGCTGCCTTAGGATTGTCAAAAGGTCCCGCTTTTTTGCAGAGGGGGGATTTGGTGTGGCTTCAGGGGAGGAGGAACTATTGATTTCTGGAGTAGTGTTTAATTTCACCTTGCAGCCATAAAGAGGCAGTGGACTGGGGGGTGGAGGAGACTTCAGGTGTTATAAGAGCTTGAATTTTTCGGTAATTGGAGGTCCAAACCTTGTTCATAACAAAGAAAGAATTTTAATAGTATGTTGGTTAAAACTTCGTTCTTTTGATCTTTGATAGGAATGCTTAAAGGCTTTGTTTTCTAATTCCATCTTGTTCTTCTGCCTCCCCTCGCCACAGCCTGTTTTCAAGACTGGGCATGGTTTTAGTATGTAAGCACTGGGTTTTGAGATTAACGCTTGTAATATTTTCCTCACTTTATGTTAGCTGACTTGGAGTAAGCTGCTTAATCATGCAATCACAGGGCATGTGGTGGAAATGCCTTCAAGAAATCCAAGTACTTTGTGCAGAAAGAGCCTTAATGTTAGTCCTGTTTTCTGCTCCTGTCTCCTCTCAAAACTTCTTCCCGTTACTTATTTGGAGTGTTAACTCCCAGAAATAGCAAACCTTTGTTAAGGGCATAAATCTCACATGCAGGTGAAGTTCACTCTCCAAAACTGTTATAACTCTGTGTCCTGCTCTTAAGGCTCTACAGGTGTGTTCTGCTGTGGGTCGTCTTGTATATCCAGAAGAGCTGTGCTTTCCATCTGCTGGAGCATGAAGGCTTTTGTACAGTTGCTCTGCTGTCTGGAAAGGTGTTAAATTGGCATTTCTGGGGTGGTATCTTCATAGTAATCCTCCAGGAGAGGATGTATGTGGAGCCACTGTCTCACACAGTGGTTGTCCTCCAGGAATTCAGCTACCTGTGGTCTTGCATTTCTCCCTCATGTATCAACTCTTCATAATGATGTGCTGGAAACTGGAACACTGGACTGATTAAAACTGGAAAGAAAAAAAGATTAACTCAATCTTATGTTCTGGCTAGTGATGATAGCTGCGCTGGGCTCTTACTCTCTGCAATAGAAAATTCGTAGTTTCCAGATTTCTCCTTGCTCCCTCATTCTCCCTGTTGTTTGTTTGTTTGTTTGTTTTGGTTTTTTTTGCAGCTGTCAACTTGGCAGATTGTGTTTAGGCTACTTGAGTTTTACTTTAGATTTGGATTAGTTTTGTTTATACAACAGATGGTAAAATCATGTGGCTTTGCGGTGTGAAGTTTTGTGTATGTTATCTGAACAGATGCATGACAATGGAATCTGATTGTTTGCAGATGCTCAATGTAGCTGTATCTTCAAGCAGTTTAACAGTAACACTGCTCATGTTGCTACTAGCTCAGGCAGGGACGTTGAAGACCTGAGGTTTGTTGGGGCAGGAAAATAGATGGGCACAGCGGGATAGATGGTCTATTACAGCTATACTTAAATAGCTGTAACTCCCCCTCGTGGTCATCCGCGAAATCAAGTCACTTCTAATTCCAAAGTAGCTTCTACTTTTACCTATACTGGGCTAAGTTGTCAATATAAGGCATTATTCCGCAAGGCAGCGAATATCACTGTGTTGTAACTTTTTTTTTCGTATCTCTTGATCTGTTCTGCTCCGGTTCTGGAATGTGTTCACTGTAGGCAAGCCCTTAAGACTTCCTGATGTGGGTAAGATCTATGGGCCTGTAGAATTACAAAGGCAAAAGGCTTGCCAACGAGTTTTAAAGCAGACTATACAAACCACTGGAACACATCCCATGGAGAACAATAAAGTACCTCAGACTGGAAAAATGATTTGGTAGTGAGTTTTCCGTTCACTTCTGAGTTTGTGACTGTGTGCCAGAATACATGTGTGCATGTCTGTGGAGAGTTCAGTGCAACTGGCTGCAGCAGTGGGAGAAATTATAGGAGAACTAGGGTTGGTTTAAACTAACAAAACCAGTTTGAAGTGGATTAAGTACCACCCTCAAAAGTTTAATACTGAAGTCCTGTAAGTTAAAATTTGAAAGTAATCACTTAATTTGCTTCCACTAAATATAAATCTACTATTAATTCAATATCGATGTCCAAAAACGGGAGAGCTGTGTCTGGCAAGCTAAATAAGTGTGTGTGTGTGTGTGTATGTATGTATGCACACAGGGAGGAGGAAGCTGCCCACCTTCTGTAGGTTGAGAGTTTTGGGAAATAAGTACAGTTTTGTGTAGAAGGTTGTTACTGAGTTGCTCTGCAAAATAGTATAGGTGTGAATTTACTGAAACCTCTACAGCTTCAGCTAGAAAAAAAACCCACCAGTATTCTTTATCTGCCTCGAGTTAGGTTTTGTCCCTGCTGCTGCCTCAGAGCCTAAGACGCAGAAAGGGTGCAGAGGTGTGGACGTTGACCCAATGGAGCAAGCAGGAAGGGTTCTTTAGTTCATATTTTGCTTGTAACATTTTCTGCTGTTTCTTTACTATGTATCACTGGTACTAACAGCCAGGCAAGGCTTGTATAAGAAGAGGTAAAGGCTGCAGGCGGTACATATATGTTACTCAGTACAAACTAAGGTAACTTTTCTAGCTTACCAGAAGGAAGTGGTGATTACAAAAGATTTTAGTGCTGAAAGGCCTACATTGATGCTTGTTAATGAAAGTTTGCAAATGCCAAATTAATTTTTTTATATATGCTTCATATGGATCAAGGGAAATACAAAGCAGTGCGACTGACTTCTGTGCTGGGTCTCTAGAAATAGTTGGACAAGAATAGTTCTGGTTTGAACATCACTATGTTGAATGTAGAAACGCTTGGCCAGAGGGTCAAAACAATATGAATTATACCCATCTGTGTCATTCTGTATGATACCATAAAAATTGGTGGTTTTATTTTTGCACTCTGGTGTTCCAAAGAAACACAAGTCAGTGTTGGTTCTTATAGTGGTTCTTACGGCAACACATTTGTAAACCATCTTTGCTGACTCCTGTGTGTACACTAAATTACAGCCACTAAAAAAAGTGTTTG